AGAGAGGTTCCCTGGAAGCTCTCCGTGCAGCGGAGACTCAGGCAGGGTTCTTGCAACAGGGTATTGTCCCTCCTGGGTGCTCCGCAGTGAGCCCGGGCGCTTTCTCTTCCCTTCAGCCGAGCGCCTCGCTAGCTCATTCACGGCAACCAGAAGCTTTCGTCGGCGTATTTAATCTTTTCTTTTTGCGGGCTCTCCGTGGTGACTGCTCTGTCTCCTTTCTCCTCACTCTCCGCGTTTCAGCAGCTCGGAGGAGGAAGGTTGGAGAGAGCTGTTCAGTTCCCAGCCGTGGATTTCACTCTCCCCAAGGAAGCCAACCTCGGTTCCTCGCTGCGAGGAACCGACTCCAGGCTCTGTCCCAGGACATGCGCAGGAGGCTGGGGACTCTGGTATCAGGCCTGGGCACGCTCCTCTTCTGCACGTCTCCCAAAGGGTCAGCTGGGGCAGGGGGAGACCAGATGAGCGTCTCCTCCGCGAGGGGCTCGGCAGCTGGTCTTCCACACCTCCGGGAAGCTCAGGACCTGAACAAACGCAGACCCCGAGGGCAGCACAAGGCCAGCAGGAAGTACAAAAATACCTTTTCTAGTGCACGAAGGTGTTTCTGATCTCTTTTTCCACACTTGCAACCACTGAAACGATTGCCAGAGCAGCAGAACAGCCGTCCCAGGCCAGCCCAGAGACTCAGCTAGCCTTGGGTCTTGGGCATGCATCAGGAAAATTAGAGAAGAAACAGATGAAGTAAATGGCGTCCTGTCCCTTTCATTCCCCCGTGTCCCAGAGTTTATCAGACCCCTTTTCCAAACAGCCGAGCCTCCCCCCTTTGCGTCTCTCCTTGTCACGCCCCTGAGCACCCTGCCCTGGATTTGCCTCATCTTGGCAACAAACTTCTTGAGCACGAGATACAGAGGGCTGGGTCCCCAGACGCACCCCTGCACACGCCGGCACGGACTCTGAGACGCAGACACACCTGCGTGCAGAAGCAGGGACACAGCGAGGCACCGCCATGACAGCAGGAACCTCCTCCCAGCTCTATTCCATGGGCCAACCTGTCCTCCTGCCAGCTCCTGCATGGATTTGTGGGCTGGCCCCAGCAGGGAAGAAGGCAGGCACCCTCCGCATCAATGGTCCCAAAGCCTCTGGATGTATTTGGGAGTTACCAGGTTCCTCCTGGCTTGGAGAAACCAGTTGTCCTACAACCAGGACACAAAAACCTAGCAAAGCACCGAGGAAGGACAGTTTCTGCAGCGGTGATGACAACGGACACCTCAGCTACCTTCACAGCAGCGGTGGGCTGGTTGCTTCTTCAGCCCTTTGGCCCTTCTGAGCCCTGACAGCGGACTTTGCAAGGAATGGGCTGAACTTCGGGGTGATCGCCAATGCTCCGCTGTGGCTTGCTTGAGTGACGTGGGGCAGCTCTGCAACATTTGCTGTGGTCTCTTCATGTATGTACCAGATTTCCCCCCTAATCACTCCAAAAAGGCAGTAGTCCAGACCCACCTCTCTTCTCCATCCGTATCAGTAGCTCCTGGGAAGCAGGAGGTATTTCGCTAGAATCAGGATAAAAGAGAGTCGGGATCTCTCCTATCAAGACCAAATAAAAACACTGAATAAAGAACCTCATAAGCTGGATCTTTTCAAGATAAATTCCTTCCAGGGGCAGCTCAGCTTCCAGGCTGAGAGCTGGCACCCCAGCCTGGTTGGTGGCTTTGGGAACCTTTCTGAGATGAATCCCTACACAGAAACGAAGAGCCAGAAAGCTCTTAAAGTTATTATTGCTCCTCGTGATGGTCAGATGTTGTGGTTCTGTGCCGCAGCACAGAAGGTTAGCCAACAGGGCCAGGGATGTTGTGGCTATCCTGACATCCACAGCCAGTGCATCAGGTGCTCTCACTTGTCGTTCCCACTGGAAACTCATCTTGGAGACTCTCTCCGGCAAGGTCCATGCTCAAGAACCTCCACCTCTCTGTTGCTTTTTGAAGATGACCCGTAGTTTCTCTGTCTGCCTTCCTGTCTCTAACCTACAAAACCTCACAACACTCCGCCTAATCCCTTCGTTTTCAATCAAAGGCCGACCCGTTGCAGGGTTTTTAGAGGATTGTCCTGCCTGCCATGTGGTTTGGTGCCTCAGGCAGTTGCCTCCAGACTCCAGCTGTTTTTATTACCTAAGTGGGTTTGATTGCTCCTTCATTTGTGCCTGAATGAGAGCCTTTGGCACCCTCGTGGGCTTTAATGGGGTCTGTGTGTTCTAGCTACCAATTAAACCCGCTGGCAGCGATTAACAGCTTCCAGCAGAACACTAACGCGGAGCAGAGGGGACACGGCTTTCCAGGTCTCCAGGAGAGGATTCGGTGGAAAAGGGACAGGACTTTCTGCAGAAAGGTGGAGCACGGCGGCTGTGTTGGCTGGAAGTGGCTCTGTCCCCAGGTGACCGCTGCCACTTTTCTTCTCATCAGCGGAGGTCGGGCTCAGCTGTCCCAGGCTCACGCTCTGCGAGCTCAGACACCTTTCCCAGCAGCGGGC